CGCTCTAACGGTGGGAAAAATGCTGTACGAGATGCAACCCTCCCCTCTCCACCGAAGTCCTACTCTGGAAGACTCCTACCCATTCCCCATGCTAGCTTCAATCCTCCCAAACTTTGTTGCATACCATTTTGTCCCATTTTTCCAAGAAAGTGGAGTGGGGGTAAGTCAGGACTAGAGAACTACTAATTGCAACCATCTGAAACAGTGATTGCATAGGAATTTTGCTGCTATACCAACTGTGGGAGTGAGGGGAGGGGAGAGGGAGCGGGCAATTAGAACATTTGCTGAGACCAGTTACTACCTGCTCCCTTCAGCGAACAAATACGACCCCGTACGAGAGTCCCCGGCGTGCGTCGTGCCCTGTCCAGTATAGTGAGACCCGGACCGATCCACTCATTACCCATGGATTTAGGCAAAATACAGGCAGAACAGTTGGATCGATTTAATCGGGAAGGATACTCTCAGCAAATGCAGTACAAAAGGAAGAAAGTATCCACGTAAACAAACATTAACAACATTTACTAGCATAAAAACAGAATAAAACAAGTTATATTCAATTAAGGAAAGAAATAACTTACACTCTAAAGAATGGGTCAGCGCTTTGATGTGTCATTGTGATCTTGATTTGAACTTTCGAATTATCCTGCCGTTGATGTAACCCGTAGCCGTCTAATAGATAGGAACGTGTCATACCTGAACAAATAATTCTCTTCAATTCAAATATCGTCTATTTCGCTGTTTATGATGGGGCGTGTCAAGGGTAACGGGTTTAGCGCCTAATCATTTTTTCCCTTTTTCTTTCAGTAGCGATAAGACGGTATCACATCGTTCCTATCACTCGTTTTCCATCAGTTAATGTCGCTTATCCGCTTCAAAACCTGAGGAGAACGGGCTGTTGGCGCGCCAAACCCACTCTCATGACACGCCCCTTCATCCGCAGCGAACTAGACTGTGAGTACCGTTACTATATTTTATTAGCTGCATTTTTATGCTAATTTTAGGATGAGTAGCAAAAAACTGCCTACTGTTGATGAGTGAGAGGGCATCCACAAGAAAAAAAAACAACGCGCTCACTAATGCATTTCGTGCTAAGTAGCGCTGCATAATCGTCAACATCTGGTTCTAGAGTAGAATTACCAGTATAACGAGAGCCATACAAAGGCCACTGGAAAAGAGAATAACAAAACATTTGTGGCATATGGGGATTTGCACGTGTGCATTCCACTACAGGTGCTTCCTACAATTCCTAAGTTCTTAGATCCTGTTACCCCTCCACCCCCCTTCTTCCTCCCTCCCACGTCCCAAAAAAAAACACGAAATCACGCCTACATTCAGGAATCCCCGAGAAATGTTTCATGTGGCTCTCAACGCGCTTTTTTGCTCTGTTAATGCCTCTCTGCACTTTACCAAATCAACTCTTGGCTGGCTCATCTGGGAATCGCTCGAACAAATTAGCGTGCGGATTGCATATGGAAGGCCGAAAATCGACGTGAAATCCAACCAGTTCTCTCCAAAACCCTTGATATGCTCGATGCTAATGGTTGAGTCAAATGTGCACCCTTGAAAGATTTATCGAAAGCCTCTAGGTTCGCTTTTGAAAAAAATTATAGCCCCGGGTACTTTCAAAGGAGTAGCAATTAAAGCGGTTGGATCAATTCACGAAAGGTCTTTGATGACATTACGGAAAACCAGTACAAGGGCAGTTTACGAAGCACGCAATCCTTAAACATAGTCCCCACGCTCAACCAATTCGTAGCCGTCCTTCCTTGCTCAAGCAGGCTGGTCCGCGTTTTCTAAAACTGTCCCACTTTCGCGGCTTCACAGTAAATAACGAAGGCGCCGGCGGATCTCATAAGCAGGGTCTGACGCCTCTCCCATCGAACCCAAAGGCTGTTTTCTGTCACCAAACTCAGGTCCTTTACCGTTTTTTTTTCAAGTCTTTAGATGTTCTTAGCATATAACGTGACGTGGAGAAAAAAAAACTGCTGACTCATGGACGGCAGGATTCCCGCTGGAATACCACGAGCAGGTCCGGAGAACTCGTATACGTGGGGCTGCGGCGGGGGGGGGGGGGGGGGGGCGGCCTTAGGGTGCTTTCCATGATTTTCGTTTTTTCCTTTTCTTGAGATCAAAATCGATCAACTGATTTGCTAACTTGAACGCACTGATCACAATATACGATTGCGGGGTTTGTCTTAAAAGCAGTTGGATCAACTCATGAGAGGTCTCCCATAAAAGTGAAAAGCTAGTATACGGGCAGAGGAGGGGAAAGGAGCTATATGTAGCAGCAAAAGAGGGAGCTTAAAACGTTTGCAATTTCCTTGAGATTGAGTTCTGGCTTAGTCCATCATGGCCTCATACTACCACATAGACAGGTGCTGTTGGACCATCTGCACACTGGCGCCAGGAGAATCGAAGAAAGGGAGGATTTGTGAATCAGGAAAAGGCGTTAGACATGTATCGATAGGTAGTTTAGTAGAAACGAGGAATCGCGTAAACAGGATGCAACGCTTTTTATGGGAAAGCTTAGGCATGTATCGATCGAGAAAATCGGCCAATTCTCTCATGCTTCAGCTGCGCAAAATCACAGATCGATACTTATCTAGCTCGTTACGTTGATTTCTATGATTCGCCCAGTCGACGTTCCCAAATCTTTCCGCCGATTTTTCGATTCTGCAAGGTTGCACGCGGGCTCTGAGCGCTGCTTTAGCGATGAGCAGCCTTGGAGAGTTGTCTGTACAGATCTTTGAGCGGAAATAGCAGTAAGCCGTTCGGATCCCTCTTATATTTTTTGAATAAAAAATCCCGGCATTATTTTGTAGTTGATTAAATAAGGAAAGCTTGAGGAGCGCGCGCTCTACACCCTGATGAATTCACCTCATCATCTCCTAGCATGCACTGAAGAGGCAAAGGCAACCCTTGGCGCACGCTCTCTGAAGAAGCCAAAATTGAATCATGAAAAAAAATGCGAAAAGCCACGATCCCTGAAGATGCAAAAATTATTTCATGGAGAAAACGCGAATATTCCACCCCGAGCTATTACCGAACAGAGGGCTTTTGGCAGAAAATTTTTCTCGCAACACAAAATGAAACTAAAAAAAAACCACGAGAACTCACCTTCCACACCGCTCCCAGCAAATTCAGAAAGATTAATATCGACAAATCCAAGTTTCAGAAAAGATTTGCCTCCCTTCTGCTCCTGAACATTTTAACATTATAGGGATTCCTCAGTACTTTGCGACATTGGAGAATAGGTTATAGCATATAAGATTCGGAAGAACGCGCCAAGGAAGGTACAAATATCGATCAGGAGAATCGGAGAATAGAGGAATGCGAGCGAAGAGACTAGAAGGATATCGATCGACCCTGATAGTCCCAATCTGCCAGTGGGCGGGGCCATCAACTTCCTTATAAATTATATGACGCACATTTCTAATGTTCTCCAATTCTCCAAATCGATACTTATACTGTCGTTCAAGCGCCAGTAAAATTATCGATAAGGAGAATAGGCTAAGTTTTTCCTATTCTCCACCGTCGCAATGTATGAAAGTAGTCTAATGGAAACATAAAACATCTGAGCATGAAAAAAAAAACAATAAAAAAGCCTAACGTAGAAATCAAGAACTTGCGGGAGCCATCTAGTAAATACTTTGCTTTCATTGCTTTCAAACGCTATGAAAGCTTCAGAGCTCCGTTAATTCTTAGCGACGGCGGAAGAAAACCGGGAAATAGTAGAAAGAATCGATCTAACGTTTAGGAGAATGGGACAATCGACCTTGCTGAAGAATAGTAGAGTCGAAATCCTTGAAAAATGCGTTCCAAGGAAAGCACTGATATCGATCAGCACAGGTGAGAGAAAAGAAGCGTAGCACAAAAAGGATTGGGCGTCAAAAATCGTCTCAGGGCACTTGTCAACCGGGAAGCCTCTCCCCTTTTCCTTTTTTTTTTCCTCCTTCCTTCTCTGATCCCTCCTCCTTTACCTTCAACTACTGGACTGGTAGATGCCTCGTGAAAATAAACCCTGGACCCTCGCAGCGAGAGCACGTCTGGTTGACAACAGCCCCGTAACCGTCAAACATAGCAACTTCTGCAGCGCGGTTGCAGGCGCTGCTGTTTTTTTTGACTCCTGAGTGTGTTCTCGGCTACTATCAATACCAGTACGCATCAAGTAGCACGTTCTCCCAGAACGGCAAGTCCATGATTCTCCCATTCTCCAGAAGTATGGATCCTCAGAATTCCCGAAACGTCAGATCGCTACCTATACCTTCTCGGTTAAGCATTTTCCTAGTCTCCTATCGCGGAATATGAAAGCAGTGTATGAAGAAAGAAGGAGAGAGAGGAGGAAAGAAAAATAAAGCGTGGATCAGAATGGTTTTCGTACTTTTCTAATGGAAATCCGACATAGACATCTTTCCAAGATACCGGAGGTTGGATCCGACGTTATTCGGCAACAAAAATTCGAACGATGAGACCATGAGCAACTATTACGGACTACCTGTAATACCATTACTAGTTGATCAACTTATGTGAAACGAAACAAAGCAAAAGAAATAATCGCTATATGCAGTAAAGTGGGCTTGATGCAGAAAAGAGGTTAAAACTACGACATAAGAACTGGCTCTCTCAACCCGGAGCTCATTTCTTCAATTTCTTAAAGGCAGTGTGCACGATGGCTGGGAGTGGGCGGTTGTTGCCAACGTCATTGGTGGAAGGGCTAAGTGGGGTGTGGCCAAACGCCCTCTCGCAGCCCTTCCACCAATGACGCTGGCAACAACCGCCCGCCTCCAGCAATCGCCCCAACTGCCCGCAAGCAAAATCGTCACCCCGGCTCAGAATCCGTGCCACTTCAGAAGAACCTCACTGGAATAGCGGTGTAACAAGTAATCTTTTAGAAGGGCACCAACCTCAACACGTTCGGTACAATCATCAAATGTGCCTCCTTCTAGAAGTCGTATCTTCGCAAAAAGGACTGCATTCACCAGTGGAACGTCGCTTAAGTTGCACACCTGAAAGATATCCATCAGTTATTAGTGAAAAAATCAAACAGGCACAGGTGGTGTAGTGGCAAGTGGCACGCTTACCACGCTCACAGTACAGGGATCAAATCTCGGATCGGCTTCCGCCCGGGCCAGCCAAACCTCCTACCCTCGGGGACGGAGAATAGTGCCAGATACGTTTGGGAGGATAAAAACTCAGACTTGCACATTACCTGAACCCGGCAATTCATTGTATAGGTCACATCGCATTCAATAAGCCACTAGATTCTGGATGAAAGTAGAATGCGTGGCGCATCCCACAAAGGGACTGATTTATAGGCAAGGGCTTCATCCTTTATCCTTTTGAATCACGTTGGGCGCTATAGCACTATGGGGCCGCAATAGTCTGTCCCCTCACGATATGTCATCACATTGTCACTGGGTATTTTAAGGTAGTTTTACACAAAAATAAAAATAGGCGAAATGAAAAAAGAAAAAAATAGTGGCAACTCTACCAGTATCATCATTACTGGTATCAGTACTACCACTAATTGCCCTCCAGCATAAAATATATAGAAGAAACGGCGTGGAAAGGGCAAATGTTCTTTGACGTGATCTACTCGTCACTGACGTCATGTGACGTCATGCAATGACATGTCATGTATGTCAATAGTATACTTTGTCGAACGACTCCCAGCAGGAACGCATTTTTATTGTTCGACAATAAAGCCCTCATAGGCAACTGCGGCCCCATACTACTATTGCGCCCATATTGATTAGCCATATGATCTATGATGACGTATACGGGATTTGAAACTCCAAACAACAGGCCATAAAATTACGAGAACGCTCAAAGCGCACCAGAACTAACAAAGTGAGAGCAAAGAGTAATGAACATTATTTAGGCTGACCATTTACTTACTGCATTAAAAACTGCAGCAGATTTAAAAGGGCAAAGTTGAAAAGGCCAATATGCTAACTAGGAGGCTATAATGAAATTGGACCATCCAAGAGCTCCAACAAACCTGCAAATCGACGCTGAACTTGACTTTTTTCCGTTTCAGAAAAGCCATTTTACGCCATAGCCAATCGATGAGAAGGTACCGACCTAAAAGGCAACGCGTCCACAACACCAACGACATTGAAATAGCAATGAAGACGTTATTTTATTGAAATGAAAATGGCTGGGGAGAGGCGAGGATGGGTGGGGGGGGGAGGATGGGCAGAATGAGGCAAGTGGTGGAGCAACGGCGGGATAAATGTGCACTATTGAACGGGAAATTTGACCGAATATTCATGAGGCGAGCAACCTACAAGGCGCAAGGCGAAATTTGACAAGACACTGGGCAAGAAGACAAGTGAGTGAATCGCTCTCGGCTTAGAAGTGGCAGCGAAAACAACAACACTTTCCAATAATGCCATTACGAAATTCCCTATTCAAAATGCAATCAAATTTTTATAGGGATAGAGCTGGTAGGGGGATATGAAAACGTGATATTTCTACGAATAACGTTCGTATCGATCGCGAGCAGGGGCTGCATTGTTCCTTACAGCAATTCAGCATCAGAAAAAGAAATCAAGCGCAGTAAATTTCGCGGCACGCCAAAGCCGTAACATAGCTTGTGCATCGTGTTGGCGATGGAGCTACAGACATCGCACAGGATTTGACGTCATTCACGAAAATCCCCGAAAACTGGATAAGCCGTGACCATGGGTGGGTAAAATTTGACCAAAACCATCCTCATCCGTCTCCGTATGTTGGAGCAGGGAATTGGACACCTCTCACCAATTATAAGAAATAGCAAAATTGCTGCGGCGCCGACGAGGGAGGTGGGAGGGGTGTAGCGCGCGTGAAACGAGGAAAAAGTATCAGAAAAAAGGACTCGCCAGGACAAGCACGGCTATCCCTCCCCCTTAGATTTTTTTATAGATTTCACAACCATTATGTGAATATCTCAAGACTCACGTTTCATTCGGCTTCGAAGCATCAATGCCGTCGTTGGTTTGTTCGTCGGAAGAAGCATTTCTGAAAATGTGGTTGTAAATCGCCTGTGAGGATTTTACTTGGCAAAAATCCAGACGTCTAAGTATTACACGAAGTAAAGTTGCTCGAAGCGCTCTTGAACGCAAAAGTGGATGCTAGCGGGTCAGTTTGTAAAGTTCTTCAAAATTACCAGATCATTATGTGAAATCCTGTGAGCTCTAGTCGAAAATACAAAGTTTGGTGCAATAGTACGTCGGAGAACGGTAATCGCTGATTTCCACAGAGGGTTTCAACTCTGAGCTCTGAACTGACTCTGAGCAAGCTGCCTTTCTCTTCCACGCCATTTCTTTTTATTTTTCTGGGTTGAACAGAGTGTAGCGCTGGGGAGGAGCGAAGAATCAAACGATTGCGTATTGTGGGGATAAGGATTTTGGGCCTAAGCGTAGGAAGTTAGGAAAGAAGCCTTTCCTTAAAGCTTACAATAAAAAAGTTATTTTTGAGTGTCTCCACCCAAATCCCTTATGTTTGACTAGCGCTGTCCTGTGAGGACTCTAGGTTGAACAAACCACTTCTCATGAAGTGTGTAAATCACTTTTTGCACAACTGGGTGGGTCAGATCCGCCTGAGCTCTTGTTCTTCTCTAGGCTCGGACTCGTTCTTTTTCATTCTTTCTCTTTCCAGTAGTAACTACAGTCAGGATTCCTGTAAACGATAAGACGCGTGACGGGGCGTGGATTGGAGCGCAGCCAAGGTACCATTTCCATCAATGATGTTATCCTATGTCCGCAGCAATTGGCGGAAAGTACTGTATTGGCCGCGTTCCAACTCCAGCCGTTCACACGCCCTATCGTCTGCAGGGATTATGACCATGAACGTAGTGCAGCATGAAAGAGAATTGAAGTGGAAAGGAAGTAATGAGAAAAAAAGAGAAAAATGTAGCTTTACAGGAGGAGTTTACATTACTTTAACGAAATGATCCAGACATATTTATGGGACCATGAACCGGCACTGCATACTGGCCTAGCGAACGTAAAAGCCTCAAAGGCACTGTGTAAGTGCTGAAAACCCATCGAATGGAACATAATGGAAAGTGGGCAAGAAAGCCACATGACGTCATTCCCTTACTTTTGCAACGGTTCAACGCCGCTGAATAATACAAAAAATGTGTTGAACATTAGAAGCACACATGGCACTCTGTACTAGTTACTGGCAACGAGGTAAATAATAGGAGTGAGTGCGTAGATGATAATGATTGCCGTTGATGTGGGCTTATCCGCGTTGAGCTGCAACCAGCTAATTAGTTAGCTGGTGCTGACGACAACAAGGTCAGCCAGGTGAGGATTATGTGAAACAACTTGGCCAGAGGATACACAACTGAAGTCAGCGGCTGGTGCCGCTCAAGTTGGGGAGTTTCAGATTGAACACAATTAAAAAAGATGGATTACATTCAGTAGCTACTACGGTCATGTCCGCTGCAGTTGATTGGGCATGTCAGAGAGGCTGGGTTTGGCGCGCGCCAGCTCATTCTCCACCAGTTCTAGAAGCGGATGAGCGAGAATAACTGGAGGAAATGGCTGATACGATCACGAACGATGTGAATAAAAGTCTGCCGCTTGTGTCGGAGGAAAGCAGAATTAGTGAAGAGGGCCGTACGTGTCAAAACCGCCTGTTCCGCTGACACCCCAATCATTCCTTAGCGATCAGACTGTACCACAGTAAGTAAAAACAGAGCAAGACCTGTGAAGTACCAACGGGATCAGCCCGAAGTGTCATGGGGATAACGACTTAGCGGGAAGGCCGACAAAAGAGACCTCCCAAGAAGAAAAAAAACTCGAATCACTAGAACACAATGCTATGTGACAATATGGCAGACAGGGAATTCGTAACTGTGCAATAGGGTACAACAGCGATACAACATTATTAGGAGAGTCGATGATGGTGGAGGAGGGGGGGTCGTATGTGTCGACGCGAGCCTGGTCGCATTTGCCCTTTTAGAGCGATATTTCCGAGCCACAAGTAACTTCCGTTGCAACCATTATAAGTCATCCCCCTTGCTCAACATGCTTACTGAGAAATTGTAAAACCCCGCGAAAATCTGTTGGGTTTTAACAATACAGCAAGGGTGAATAGTAGTCGGAGTCGCGTCCACACTACAAGGAGAGGTTAGGACCACCCACATGAAAATAAAATTTTGAAGACCAGTGAGTTTTAGCAAAACCATCTATTCTGTGCGACAAAAGAAAGCATATGGCAACGTTCCGTACTCCATTACGAATGTATGTAAATTGCTGTGAAGAATACGTTTTCGCATGAATCACATGAAGAAATACTGGCAACGTCTGAAGAGATGTGACTGACGTTATCGAATACCAGTACATATACCAGCACTTTCCTTGTTACCACCATCTATCTTTAGTTACAATACACAGAAGCCATAATACAATTCATTCATAAGTAGTATTTGTAATCGTAGTCTGGCACTGTCAAGTAAGCTTTGGGCTTCAACATTAGAGAAGGGCGAAGAAAGACTGTGAGCCAGGAAGAGGGCCTCCCTCTCAGCCTAGGAAAGGGCGAGTTGGTGGTACCTATTCCGATGTGTTTGAAAAGTCCTGGTTTTTACTATAGCGCTCAGCTCAATCGGAATAGCGGCCCCTTGCTCTGGTGCCGGTCAGGACATCCAAGGTGCGACAAGACTGCGTTCACACTTCGCGTCGACGCGCGATGACGAAGTCAATGCACGATGACGCTGTTAACTCGCTGAACAACATGAGCACAAGAAAAATAGAAAAACATAGTGGTACGGAGCGAAAAATGTAATTTTAGATGGTCATTATGAAATATCACAAAATATAAATATTGCACATAAATTTATAGCAGTTTTAGACAGAATAACTAGTAAAACAATACAAAATAGAATAATAAGAATGGATCACCAAATGGATAGCTATGGGGAAAACTACGCGTCTGGAGGCTATTTTCATAAGCTCTCACCGAAACCAAGCCAAGCGGGTCCGGATATAGCGGGTCCTGGAACAGACACTGGAACTACCACGGTAATGTGGGGAGCGCCATGTTAGTGCGACCCTCTCCCCACAAAGCAACCTGTTGAAAAGCGGGGGGAAGGGGGACAGACGGGGTGGAAAACAGCCATCCGACCAACCACTCAAAATAGTAAAACTGGGTGAAATCGCGGCTGAGGGGGAGGGTGAGGGGAGGAGTTTGCGGCGGCATGTCTGGTCTACGGACAATTCAAACGCGATTCCTTTAATCGCGCCGATTTTCTGTTTTTCTCTACGCTTTCACCTCTAGATGTTATTTCTTGGCTATAGCGACCTTACACATCCAAACTTTCACGCCTGATGATTTTTTTGAAACCCTCTCTTCGATGCTTTGATTGGTCATCTCTGTTTCTCTGCGCGCTGGCCCTTTCACGCCAGGCCCACCTCGAAAAAAGTTAGTTTTCACGTAACCGGCATGTCTATGCGACTCTGGTTGTCTGCGCTCTGTTAAGGCAGTCTTGGCTAGGGAATGGAGATACACGATCGATTTTGACTCCAAAACTCCGTCAAAAACTATATTCTGCTTCAGCTAACTCGTCGAAATTTTCAGCAGGGATCCAGTTAGTCACCGTATCATTTAGTCGCGAACTAAAATGTAATACGGTAGACGGTAAGGGACAATACATTTCATTCGATCGGAACACTGCTTAGACCGCGTCGCAACCACTTGCCCATATTAAATGTACCAATTAAGTATTCTTGTGTTAAACCGGTTCCTTACTCCAGAAATTCGTTCCTGTCGAGGATCCACCCACGGCGCCCCACGTGGCTTCCCTCAGCGGCGATAACAGCTGCATACAGTCATGATCCCTGCAACGATAGAGGGCGTGGCTTGGAGCGCAGCCAGAGCAGATTTCTCACCAGCTGTAGCGGGCTCAGGATGACATCATTGGTGGAGATGCTGCCGCTTTGTTGCAATCCGCGCCGCGTCACACGCCCTATGGTCCACAGGGACCATGACTGTGAACTATAACATCTCACCACAATGCGGAGCTATTATTTCAAGAAAAAAAGAGAAATCAAAACAACCTCTTGATGTGGATTCTATTACCATAGAGTACACTGAAAAGAAAATAATATAATAAGTGCCATTGTGCTC